CTGCTCTGAGCCCGACCAGGGGCTGCACCTAGGGATTGGGCCTGCCCTCTGCCACCCGGGAGCAGGCCTAAGCCAGCAGGTTGTTATCTCCCGAGGGGTCCCAGACTGCAGAGGGCACAGGCCGGGCTGAGGCACCCCCCTCCCCCCTGAGTGCACAAATTTTTGTGCACCGGGCCTCTAGTCCTATATAATAAAACCCCATTGACTGAACAGCAGAATTACCAGAATGATGGGTAAACCAGTCGCTATGATGTGCACTGATCACCAGGGGGAAGACATTCAATGCAGGAGCTGCCCCCTGGTGGTCAGTGTGCTACTATAGTGAGAGCTGCTACTCTGCTGACGGCATGAGTTGCTGATCCCACTGTGAACCCCCAGACGAAGGGCAGGAACCTGGGCTGCGATTGTTGCCTCCTTGCCCGGCCTCCGGACACCTGCAGGCTGTGCAGTATCTCTGCTGAGCTCGCAGAGCTGACCCCAGAGGCTGGGAGGCCGATTCATGGCCACCGTGGGACTGAGGCCTACTCCACCACCTCTCAGTGCTATTGTCCCTGGGCCCGGTCCTGATCAGATTCCCTGGAGAAACAAGTGGTCCACGGAAGATGCCAGACCAGGAAGCAGCTGCTCAGATGATGCTGGTCCACAGCTGCTCGCTGACTGGGATGAATGGAGCTCCCACAGCGGCTGATCCCTGCAGGCCACTCACCAGTGCACAAATCCCGTTCACCGGACCTCTAGTCAACAATAAAAATATATTAAAAAAATAAGAAAGAAAAGAAAACACAAAATCAAACCAAAGCAATCTTTGGTTGAATTTTGATTTTTAACCAATGATTTCGGAAATGCATCTTTTTCTATATACTGGCACAATAAAGAATTTATGAAAAAACAAAGACAAAAAACAAAGCTTTCAATAAGTTACTTTAAACCTATCATAATCATCCTCGCATTCTACCAAAAAGCACTCTGCCTAATGTGTATTCTACCATGAAGCTGTGCTGCAATATACATGGGGGTATATATATCTTCTCTCCTAAGTTTTTTCTTTTTCTTCAGATAAATACCCAGAAGTGGGGTTTCTGGGTTGTATGGTAGTTCTATTTTTAATATTTTGAGGAACCTTCACACTTCATAGTGGCTTCTGTAACTCATTTACCATTTCTTGATTGGGCTTTCACTGTCTGCAAGAAAAACAAAGTGTTGCTTAAGAAGTAAAATGGGAATAGTATCACAGACTCAGCAGTATTTACCAATAGGTTAGGATCCATTTTATATTTATAAAGTGTTCTTGAATCTCCTCTGGAAATTCTACATAATGTACCATGGTATATTATGAAAAATGTCTAATTGTAGACACCAACTAAATATTGTTGGATCTAACATGTATTCTGGTTACAGACTAAGATTTTGGTATATCTAGATCTTTGAATAGAATTTTAGGTTTAAATTCTTCAAAAATTAAGATATAACGCTGTATGGTCTAATAACAATTTTTATTTACCCATTTGTCAAGTTTATTTTACTATCTATGTTTTTTACCTGTTTTCTCTTCCAAAGGTTCAGGTGCATTAAAACCAAAGATTAGGTCAGTTCATTGGATTTAGGAAGCCAGTGTGTTATTTGATGCCCTCTAATTTTGACATGTTAACAACTTTACAATTAACCATGAGGGATAACATTTAATATTAATAAGTATTATGTGCTGCCTTTTAAGATAATTTCTGAAGTACATTCATTTATACTTTTAATTTCTAGACTATTTGAGACTAATACTATTAAGTATTTTTGGTTCCATACCCATGGAATTTTACTTATAAAAATAAATTCTTAGCATACAAAAAGTTCATAAAGGGGAAATTTACATTTTATATTTTAATTTTACATAAAAGAATTATAACAGCTTATTTTAAGAAAGCAAGTAATCTAATTTGCCATGTTTTTGCTGATGTAGCTTTTGTTTTAAGACTTAAACTTAAAATGCTTCATTATTAGTGAACATCGTGTAGCATTTAGTTTAATTTAATTACTACTTAATGCATTTTCATGTTTTGGCAAACAATTATGAGTAAACTATTATTTACTGTTTCTTGCATCGTCATAAGTTGAAAATAATAATACATATAACACGTGATTGTTGCAAAGGTTAAATTTATTTTTTCATTGTCAAGTTCATATCTGCAGAGAAATTTTAACTATTTCTAACAATACCTTTCTTATTATAGCTGGTATATTTTTATTTTTTCTCTTATTTAAAGTCGTAATACGTTTTTTCTTAAGTTTATAATCTTTTTTAAAAAGTTTTTATCAAATTTATTGGGTTAACATTGGTTAATAGGACCATATAGATTTCAAGTTTACTTTTCTGTGATATAAGATCTGTATATTGTAGTGTGTGCCCATCCCTCAAATGAAACCATCTCCTGTCTCCATATATTAGGCTCATCTCCCCGCCCCCCCTTCCCACTCCTTTCCCTCTGGTAACCAGCACACTGCGGTCTGTGTCCACAAGTTTCACTTTTATATCCCACATATGAGTGAAATCATATGGTTCTTGGGTTTTCCTGATTGATTGATTTCACTTAGCATAATAGGCCCATCCATGTTGTCACAAATGGCAGTATTTTGTTTTTTTCTTATGGTTGAATAGTATTCCATTGTATATATGCACCACATCTTTTTTATTCAGTCCTATCAAAGGACATTTTGGTTATCTTCATGTCTTGGTTACTGTGAATAATGCTGCAATGAACATAGGGGTGCATATATCTTTGCAAATACTTGTTTTCCAGTTTTCGGGGTAGATGCCCAGGAGAGGATTGCTGGGTCATATGATAACTTTATTCTTAGTTTTTTGAGGAACTGCCATTCTGTTTTCCATAGTGGCTGTACCAGTCTACATTCCCAGTGTCAGTGTATTGGAAGGTTCCCTTTTCTCTACAACCGCCCCAACACTTGTTCTTATTTGTCTTTTTTATAATAGCCATTCCAACAGGTGATAACATGAATTTCTTGTTTGGGATTAATTAGGCTTTTGTGGAGTAACGCTGGTATTCAATATGTTGATAAACGTGCATAGAAGTTATTCATGTGCCAGCCACTGTGTGTGTGTGTGTGTGTGTGTGTACGCTTGAAAGTAATAACAAGAAAAACTTACGTTATAGAGTATTAAAGTAAAATTGTATTTACATTTAATATCATCTGGTTTTATATGTTTTCTGATAAAAAACAGTTTATACTAAAAACAATAAGAATGAGAAAATAAAGATGTTTTTATTAGCGTAATAAAATTTAACTCTTAGAGAACTGAAGTGAGAATAACAGAATAATATAATACCATTGATTAATGCGTGGAAGGGTCACAACAAGTATTGTACCTTAAATGTTTCTGTTCTTTAAAACTTTAGGGTTTATTGTGTATTGCCTTTAAAATGAGTATTTAACTTAGTTTTATTTTTTCAGAGCACCTTCAAGTTTAAATCTGAGAGTGATATTCATTTGGCAGAACATCATAAACAGGTTCTATATGATGGAAAACTTGCAACTAGTATTGCATTTACATATAATGCCAAGGCCACTGATGCTCAGCTATGCCTGGAATCCTCACCAAAGGAAAACGCATCAATTTTTGTGCATTCCCCACATGCTTTAATGCTCCAGGTGGGTGAATAGTAACTTATTTTTCATGTTCTCATCCTGGTTAACAGTATTTTTATTTTACATATTAAACATTGTTCATCTATAAATCTACACTACTCTTTGTTTTTCTTTTTGGTTTTCTAGTTCTTTGAATGACATTTTTTTCCTTCTTCCCTTTTTTGGGCAATATACTTTACCTTGGACTTGTCTCCTTAATAGGCTATCTGTCATTTCTGATCTCGTATCTTCTATAGCCTTTGAAAAAAAAATCAGTTGGTTAACTGAACAGATGTTGTTAATATAAAAATATACTTTGGTTTAATAATAGTAGTGTATATCTTCCTAACATAAAATTCCTTGAGTATCTTTAAATCCATTAACAGTATTTCTTATTATAAAAATCCCTTGATTTATAGCTTCATATTTTTAATGTAAAAAATCTCTCAACTTAGATTTCAAATTTCTATTTTATATCAGCATCAAAAATTGTATAATTGAATGTTTTTAAAATGTCTAGCTAATGTTATTTAATTGTATTTGAAGTTATTTGGAACAAGGAAATAGTGATAATATTAAGCTTCAGAAATGTTATCAACATTTTTGTTTTCTGAATGTAGGATGTGAAAGCTATAGTAACACATTCAATTCATAGTGCAATTCATTCAATTGGAGGGATTCAAGTGCTTTTCCCACTTTTTGCCCAACTGGACAATCGACAGCTCAATGACAGTCAAGTGGAAACAACTGTCTGGTAAGTTTTTTTTTTAATGTGTAATTTCTTATATTTTTTACTTACTTAGATTACACCTGGAATACTCGGTATTGTATAAATGTATTATAATATTTGGGTTTTATTCTTAGAGTTTGAATAAAAGTGTTTTAGGGGTAAGACAGATACATATTTAACCATAAAGAGGAGTGACTTCCTTCATTATAAATAAAAAATTCTTACCAGATGAAACATAGTGATTACATTATGCAGCTGAGGAAAAATATTACTCTCAACATTATCCTTTGCAAATACTCATAGATTGGATTGTCCATGAGAAATCCTGTCAGGTTAAATAAAGTTATTAGGGTAAAGTTTATTTTTAAGAATAATATTTAATAACAGTTACATAATTTAAATACTGGTATTATTTTATAATGCTGTTATCATAAGAGTAGCACAGACATTACCTTTTCTTTATGTATAGTTCATGTTTGAGAGCCCAAATCTAACCAGTGTCTATAAAAATTCAATATCTTCTAAGTAGGTTTATTTCTGTTTTTGTAGCTTCCCTCCTTTTTATTAAAAATATCTCATGCATAAAACTCTAATTTAATCATATTTTAGAATCATATATGTAAGAAGTTAAATGTGAATTTTAACAGCTATTTTGGCTGTGTACATTGCTATGTTTAGAGAATTTAAGGGGAAAGTTTTATAGGCAAACAATTTCTACTTCAAAAGTAATATAGGAATGCTTCATTAGTATGCACATGAAATCCTTCATTTTTGAATTGATGAAAAAACTAGTGAATGAAGCAAAGATGGGAAAATTTAAAGTCCACTAAAATATAACATGACTTTCTCATAGTTATTATCTAATCTAGCTATTAACAAAATTCTGTTTTATTATTGCTATTAATATTGTCCTGTGTGTATAAATGTAAATACAAATATTATCTGTACCTTTATAAAATTCAGCTCCCGTTCATAGGTCATGCTTTCTTTCATATCAGTGCAGTATAAAGATTGAAGTTTTGAAGTGACATGGAATCCTGAGGTCATGTCCTGTTATCATACCACTTTTGTATGAGGTCTTAAATAATTTCTTTGGGAGGCCGATCAGCATTTTGGAAAAATAAAACTTTAAATTCCAGTCCTGAATTTCAATTAAAAATGTTTTATCTTTATTATCTAAGTAATCCAGTACACATTATGATCAGTAATTAAAAACTTATTAAGCGCTATGAAAAAAAAAGTTGAATATGAGGTAGCCAGTAGAAAATTCCATGTGTAATTTTAATATTCCTTATGAAATTAATATTAAGTCTATAATTATTTTAACCTGAAATGGAATTATTTTGCTTGAAAAAGAAATATTAGGAAGATTATGCAGTTTGAAATGTTATAACTGAAATTATCCACAATAACTTACATCTTTATAAATAGCTATTATAAAATCTTAGTGCTAAAATTATACTTAACAGTTTATCTGGTTCATTCATCTAACACACATGGTTTTTTTTATTGCCTGTCATTAAAACTCATTTTAGTTTTTACATTATATTTTGGTATTTAAATTGTATTTTATTATGGGGATAAAAGACAGTGTAAAGGTTCAGCATTATGATTTTCATTTTGATTTGTTTGTTTCAAGTTACTTTATATAATTCATTTTAAGTTTTCTCTGTAATAAATAACTTCAGCTTTTTCTGTGATATGTATGTTCTTAGTTTATAACCAATAGAGAACATACAGGTATCACTCTCCTTTTTAATAATAATACATACACAATTCCAAGCTATCCTGTGCTTTTTTGAATTCTTACCAGATGAAACATAATTACTATTTTTTGTTAATTGTGTTAAAAGCCCTTGATGTCTGAGGTTCACTTATTTGTGGACAGTTGTGTGCATCAGTAATATAATCTTTTGTCATTTAAAGTTTTGAAGTGAACATTATAGACGTGTGTTCATCAATAATATGGGCTTTGGGTTTTAAATGTTACATGCAAGTTGTTAAATGGAATTTCTCTCTCTATTTAAAGAACACAGAGTCTTAGCTATAGGATAGGTAAGCATTATTAGAATTTCATGTTTTCTGGGAAAATAATAAATCCATATTTATGAATGAGACCTTGAAATAGCCTATATTTTATTTTTAGTCAGCATAAAAATATTGTGTGGGAATGAAAATCTATTTGAAGTTTTTAAATCTTCCAGATAAAATTCAATAGACTCTATTTTTTTAAATAATTTGTTCACAAATGAAATACATGCCAAAAATTACAATATTACCTAATTCTTAATCACATTTTGGAGAAATTGAGCAAATCTCTAAAATAAGTTATTTGCCTTCTGTGTTTCAAGTTGAAGCATTTTAGGTCCCATGTACTTTCCTCCACTCAGTAGTCATTTTTAATATTTTTTTTCTTTTTCAATAAGACTTAACCTTTATTGGTACTACTGTGCCATTATTATAAACTTTGATGACTTTTACTGGATATAAAGGGCTTAGGATTAAAATAATTTACTGAAAGGATAATCTTATTTCCTGGAGCCTTTAAAAGTAGGCTTTATTTGTTAAGAGAATTTTTGTGGCTTGTTTTATCATAAAGGCTTTGTACTATAGCTATTATATGTGTGCCAGACTTGGGTTCAAATCTGAAGTTTACTATTTATTATTAGTGTAATGCTGAGTGTGTTATTACCGTTTTTTGTGCTTCAGTTTCCACCATTATAAGATTAGTAGTTTACTGGATTATTTAGCTTAAATGCGATAAAAATATATAGCTTAAAATACTAATCACTCAGTACATGATGGTTTTGTTATTATGAGTGTGAGCTAGGGGATCTACAAGATTATCTAAAATACTATGGTTTTATATTTAAAAGATTATATATTATCTCTCTTAAGAATTAGTTGTTATAGGGGCCATATTGTTTTATATTTGAACTTCTTTGTACTTATTTAAGTATACTTTTATTTTGAGTTTTAGTTGTAATTATCAAAACTTCTTTTGAATGATTCTATCCATTTTTTAGATAGAGTGGCTTAAAATTGAGAATTTTAACTCTAGTTTTTAAATATATATAGATATATACATACCTCTCTCTCTCTCTCTCTCTCTCTCTCTCTCTCTCTCTCTCAACATCAATCATCGATCAGCTGCCTCCTGCATGCCCCCCCACCCCCCCACTGGGGATGGTGCCTGCAACTCAGGCATGTGCCTGACCAGGAATCAAGCCATGACCTGCCACTGTGCCATACTGGCTGGTCATTAACTCAAGTTTTGAACAGAGTCAAACATAAAACACCAGGTCAAACAAAGCTTTGACTGGCTTAAGATGATTTTCTTTAGTTGGTTTTGGATTTTGTATAGCTATCCTCTTACTCTACATCTTTAGATATAATATTTTTTACAGACTCTTAACATGTAGCTAGCCATTAGCATGGCATAAAATAACCAACAAAGGAGTAGATAAATACTCTTGAACTGAGTTAACTAACATGTAGCAACACATACAGTATTGTTGATGTGATCTGGTTTTAGTTAGTAAGTAAATGAGGCCAATATGTAGTCACAGTTGTGATTTTATCCTGTTCATAATGATTCTCAATCAGCATGATCACCTTGAGTAATACTGCCCAAGTGACCAAAGCTATTTGGATGTTTTATCATTCCTTGGGGACTAGTAGTATTTTATATTGTACTGGTTGATCTTTCTCAGTCAAGTGAATATTGAGAGCAGTAACTATGCAAATTGCATTTCACTAGACATTTAATAAATACGCCTGCGCCGCGTTTCCTATTGCCCCACCGACCAACACCCCCTAGTTCTTCTAACGCCACTTCTTCAAAATAGACTCGCCCAGACCGAAAACCGACTTCTGCGCCTGGGCCACGAAGTTTCAATCCCACTGTATGTGCATGCCCTCACGTGGTATTTTGTGGAAGAGCCATGCTCAAGGGGCCAAAGAGCTGCATGTGGCTCGCGAGCCGCAGTTTGCGGACCACTGGCTTAGCGGATAGAACGTCGGCCTGCGGACTGAAGGGTCCCAGGATCAATTCTGGTCAAGGGCATGTACCTTGGTTGCGGGCCCATCCCCAGTAGGGGGTGTGCAGGAGGCAGCTGATCAATGTTTCTCTCTCATCGATGTTTCTAACTCTATCCCTCTCCCTTCCTCTCTGTAAAAAATAAGTAAAATATAAAAAATAAATAAACAAAATAATGAGCAGATTAATAAATTATCTCAAGAAGTACAACTCTAAACTTGAAATAATCATATCGTCTGTATTTTGTGTCTAAGAGTGACTCAGTATATTAGAAATTTCATTTTCCTTTGATTTGGATTATCATACACATTGAATACAAATGCCATATTCTTTTTTTTAAATATATTTTATTGATTTTTTACAGAGAGGAAGGGAGAGGGATAGAGAGTTAGAAACACGATCAGCTGCCTCCTGCACACCCCCTACTGGGGATGTGCCCACAACCAAGGTACATGCCCTTGACCGGAATCGAACCTGGGCCCCTTCAGTCTGCAGGCCAATGCTCTATCCATCGAGCCAAACTGGTCAGGCCCAAATGACATATTCTTAAATTTGGCCTACACCCCTTCTTTTTAAGAATGTATGTTATTAAATTCTATGGATGATACAAAATAGAATAAATCTTCCTCATTGTGTGACTTAAGAACTTACTTTGAAAAAATATGTTTTTTGACTCAAGGGATAAATAAGCTTTTTATGTTAAGCAGTTAAAAATATATGAAGCCCTGGACAATGTTACTCAGTGGTTAGAGCATAGGGTTGTGGGTTTGATTCCTGGTCAAGGGCAGGTACCTCGGTTGTAGCTTCCATACCTGGCCCCAGTTGGAGTTTATCCTGGAGGCAATCATTCGATGTGTCTCTCTCACATAGATGTGTCTCTCATCTCTCCCTCTCTCTCCCCCGCCTCTCTTTTTCCCCCTCCATCCCTCCCTCCCTCCCTCCTTTTCTCCCTCCCTCTCCCTGCCTCCTCCCTCTCTCCTCCCTT